CGTTTTTCATGTCCAATCCATTGAATTTTTTGACATTCATAACTGCAATATGATGTATTCCAACAACAATGGAAATTAGATTCACGTTTACAATTCACACACTAAAAATATAAGTTTTATAAATATAAACTAGTAATAATAATACTGAGGGGTACTACTGTATACTTGGTTAAACAGGATATGGAAAAAAAAGAAATCTCATTATATATTAAAATACTGGTTAAGGACTTTTGTTATGTGATTGTTTAATATCTAACATTTCTTTTTTTTTACTAATTTGACTATTAAAAAATCCAGTTCATCAATTAAAGTGTATTTAAAATTTAATATGTATTATAAAAAGTATGGAATAAAAACTGAAATGTATTGAATTAACTATACAACTACATAACTAATAGTCTCAGTGTTTTAATACCAACATTCAGTAGCTCTTATAATGTTAAATATATAGACAGTCAACCCTTTGTAAGGTATAACAATTTGTACTGAAATAAATTTTAAAAAACATATAGAAATTATTTTCATTACTATTTCTTATATGATTTCTACAAAATTTGTTGTATGATTTAAAAAATGTCTCTCTCAAGTTTAAAATAAAAATTAAATTACCCATTGCTTTTTCTTTACTTCAGACAGTTCTTTTTTTTGTTTTTCTTGCAATAAAGCAATCTCCTTTTTATGTTGTTCAATCAGTTGTTTAATAGCTTTACATTTTTCACTTTCCATTTCAGATCGAAACTAAAACAAAATATTTTGCTGTAGCACATAATATATAAAATATATCTAATTACAAAACTAACCTTGTTTATATAGCATTGTAATAAATCTTGACCTGAAGAAATAGCTATTTCATCTTGAACTACGTCAGTGTCTTTTAATGTTTCAGTTTTAGATGTTATAATTTTTTTAACTAGACATTTTGTTTTCAGTTGTGAATCATTTATTGATGTTTTAATTTCTTCAGATGCATTAGTATTTTCATTTGTAATTTTAACTTTTGTTTTTAAATGTTTAACCTTAGTACTATCTACAATGACAGGTTCAATAACTTTTCTGGGTCTACCTCTAGGTCTTTTTTCTATAGTGTTTTCAGGACTGGTTTTTTTAATTAATAAAGATTTCTTTACAAATTTTTTTGGCGGACTCATTTTTTTGTCAAGAGACAACGGTCTGCATCGTTTTCTTTTTACAGGTTTTAGTTTATCTTTTGATTCTGATTTCTCAGTATCTGTCTCCACTTTTGCAACAGTTTTTATTGATGTTTTCTGTTTTTTAACATTTCTTCTTGCATAACCTTTTAGAATGGGTGAAACCTTCAATTTAAGTTTAAGTGATTTTTCTTCATCTTCTGAAGATGAACTAGAGGAAGATGATGAAGATTGTGCAGTAAGACCAAATATAACTTTGTCCAATTGAAGTTCATGGCGACTCAATTCCTCACATGCTTTGTTCCATTGAGAAGTTTCAACTTGAGACTAAAAAATAAGTGTTTATTTAATGCCATTAAAAAGTTGAAATGTACAACAATACATTAGGCTTTAAAGATAAATGAATGTTTCTCGGTTTATATATCAGTAAAAAATGTAGGTAACATATTTTTAAATTATAATAAATTATTAACATTTTTAGATATTAACCTGCAAGGTATGAATGTTCACCGATATAGGTCGTATTTGAGTTTTGTCAATAATTCCAAGTTTGTGTTCCCTACCGAAAAATCTCACTTCGTACATATCACCTTCAATTTTCATAACCTAAAATATTATTTTAATAAAATATTATAAATAATTAAGTCTTAATTTAACTATAAATACTTTTGCTGGCCAATATGGAAAATCTTCATGTTTTGCATACACTAGTTCATGTGGGGGCTTACATGGTTTACAGAACCAAAATTTTGAAGTTTTTTGTATAGAATATTTGTAACAATAACTGCACCTCATTATTTCATCTAAATTTTGATTGCAATCTCTCAACATTAAACGTCCATAATCAGCTAGACTGCTTTGAACTATAATATAAATAAAAATTTTATCATATAATTTTAAATTGTTATAGTTATTGTTTTATGAAGGAAAGAATAGAGTTTAAGTTGTTATAATTTACCGCCATGGAAAATAATAATATTGTGAACAAAAGTTAATATATCTGCTCGGAACTCTTCAACATTTTTATATTCATCATTGTCAGCTTTATCTTTAATCATTTGAAAGTCTATAATTCTAAGATGTAAAGAAAATCATTTAAAATATATTTTTTAGCCAAAGAGTACAAAATTAATTTACTTGAAAATAAGAAGATTTATTCTCCAATTATCTTTGTCTTTTAATGTGCATTTCATGTTAAAATGTAAATCACTACTTTTTAGTTGACTCTGAAATTGAAGTCTGTCTGAAACATATGCTGATGGAGCAGTAGTAGCAATTTTACGTTCTGACCATGGTAGAGGTATCTAATTAATAAAAATATACATGTTACTAATATCAAATGGCAAATTTTAGTTGAAAATGTATTGAGGATAATTACCTTTTCTCTTAATCTACCAGTAGTATGATAAAGAAGTCGGTTCAGGTGGCCTTTTTTAATCTTTTTACAAGCTTCTTTAATAGAAACACAATTCTAAAAGAATATAGTTATTTAATAAAACTAAAAAATAATAATTATAACACTAATAGTACTATTTACTTTGCATATATTACAAATGAACTTATCATTTTCTGGCAATTCCTTTTTTTCAATACATGATATATGGAAAACTCGATAACAAGATGTACAACTTATCACATCTCCAGCACTGTGACATTGAAAACAATACCAATCATGACTATCTTTTTCCACCTATAGAAAAACATTAAAAATTAGTAAAACATGTTAATATATTTAAATAGGATAAGTAACAAACTTTTTCTTCTGGAAGTTTATATCCTTCGGTTTCAACTCCCGCTTTTGAACCTTTATTGCCAACTCTTTTGGTTAAAATCAAAAGACCATCTCGAACACAATAATTTAATTGTCTTTCCACATCCTCTGTTGAACACAAAATAATTAGTTTTGAAAATGGTATTTATAATTAAACTTTAATGTTTTACCTTTTGACATATTATAGATTTTAGTCATATATTTTGTGATGCGGTCGATATCTGGTACCTGCCTTTGAAAACGTATCACTGTCACCGCATCCCACAGCTGTTGAACAGCCAATGGGCATGATATACGGCGACGGCTTATTGACATAAATAATCTATCACCCATGTCAATTGGTACACCAGTTATTGACAAAGGAAAAAATGTGTATAATTGTTATTAATTTTAATATGATGCCAGTTAAGCAACACTTGTCAAATTTGTAATTATTGTTCTAATAACACAATGATTGCTAATAAATACAAATCCAATATAACCCAATCTGAAAGCAAAACAAAATTAATTAATATTTAAAAAGCAACTCACTTCCCAATAAACTAAATATGTTTCAAGTATATATTTAGCTATTAATTATTTGCTTTAACGCATAGATTAAACTTACTCTTGAAGAGAAATTCAATGCACCATACAAAAATGTATTATTTTAGTTTAATGGTGAATTACAATAAAATGTTTGTTAATTATGTAAGTACTCTTTACTCACAATTTACAAAATATTCCCTAACCTCTTAAATATTCTCAAGAGTTGGTTCTTTAGAACGTAGAACGAATCATCCACATTTTTAATGTTATAAACTGCTTAAGTTCTTTTCTGTAATTATATTTTATATAACCTAAAAACCATGCCCTATTTATAACAAACCAAGCTACAACCTAATTATAATTAGGCATGGTTTTACATTTTATAACTTTAAAATTAAATATTTAATATGAATATCATATTATATAAAAGTAGGAATCTGTGTAACTAAATTTGATTTGGTATTAGGAAATTAATATACCTACTATTATTATGAACTTAATATTATAGAAGCAGGCTAATTTTATTTATTATTTTACATAACACACTTATACACTTCATAAAATTATAAATAATACAACATTCAAAGATGATACGTAGGAAGTAACTAAGACCAAGTATAGAAATTCTTGTAAATATAGATGTACAATCAAAAAAAATCTAATAATAAAATATTAGAATATACCTAATAGATAGTTAAGTATGAGAATGCAATAGCTGATGTAAAGATAAAATATTTTTAAAAATAAAAGTTTTTTATATACTATAAAATAAATTTGTGAAAATTTGTTTTAAATAAGTAATTTGATATATAAAAATAAATATTAAGGTATACTGAGAAGATTATATTATTATCTGTGCTTAATGATATTCATACAATATATAGTCAAAGTGGTACCCATTCCATAGAAATACCGCTAAAACTTATTTTCGTAATTTGTCAAGGGTGATATACTTTATTTAAGTCAACTTTTGACTGGTGCCAACCGATTAGCACCTTTTCTAAGAACTAAATTCCTAATTACTAATTAGTAGTAACAATCGATGTGTAACGGGATATAAAGATTCTTTAATTTTATGCTGTGATTAATTCTTAAAAATATAAATGTTACAATTTAGGTTAGGTTTATATAAGTGATAATTCGTATAAGAGAACTACGAAGAACTATTATTTCTATAAGTCAATGAGTTTGTGTCTAGTCAAACTCTCCAAGTTCTTACATGAGTGAGTTTAAGTACGAATTGTAGGTAATGGCCAATGGATATAATATAGGTACTTGACAACATTTGTCGATGGGCAAGTGGGTTTTAAATGGATAGAATACTGAATAACGAGAGCTGAAAATATTACGTTTCAAATTCGGTCGGTTCGACTGTCGCCCCAAGTTGACAGTCGTCCGGTGGTGAATGGCTGCTCACTCGAAAACGACGAAAAAAGAATTTGTCACGGGTGGCAAAACCTCGAACTCGAGCGACATCGCTGGACGCGTTCAAATCAAAAACCGTACGATGGAAAACAGTGATTAATATTGTTGTTTACAAACACAAAACGAAAATGAAGAGGATGTGGAAGGGGAAAGGCGATTTTGGTTTTTGCCGTTTTTGGGTGGGATTCCGCTCTTCTCGTCCATCGAACAGTCTATCCACCGGTCAAATCGATTTATCGATCGCATCAGTGTTATCAATCATTTCACGTATTTGGAAGAACGGATTTTCATTCAGTCCGCCTCGGCGTCGTGATAGTGTGGTGGCAAGACAGTCGTGGTGGAGGATCCATCACCCATATTATTTTCCAGAAAAAGATCTACTAGAAATTAAAATGTAGATTGGTCAAATATTTATCTAGCGAAAATAATATTACAGAATTCAAAACAGTCATAATATAAAAGTCCCAGAAAATAAAACAAAATAAATACTACAGAATGTAAACTTATAAGAATGTAGTGTATCATTAGAACGTCGAAAAAAACAGAAAACAATAGTGTAGAAATTACGCTGGGTGTATAATAATTCTAGAATGAAAAATAATAGAACACAATTTTACAGAACTTTATAATGCATAATTTTTTTAAAACAAAATGTAGACATATCGATTTATGCCATAAACCATCAAAAATATTATTCTCTATTTTTTTTGTAATAGTTGATTTTTAGTTTTTACTATTAGGTAACGTCATCTCAGAATGAAAAGGTTCTAAATTAATTTTTTTGAAAAATGATTTTTTTGCATATTATTATTTAATATTTTTTGTTGTAAATTCAATCCTGAAATCGTATCTATCCGTTTATTATTCAATGAGATACAGATAATAAAAATGTTCTAATTCATAATTATACCCTATACGTGTCTTCATAGGGCCGAGGGCCGGCTGCATAGACCACGGTGGGTGATAACAAAGATTAATTCGGGAAGTTCTAAGAGCGTCCGCAGGAGGGTGTTAAATTATGGCTATTTTCCCCTTTGGCTTTATCTGGACAATTTTTATAATTATTATTGATGAATGATGAATTTTATTAATGCCCTAAAAAAATTCTGAATAATAGTAATGTACTAAAATATTTTATATTCTGAGTGGAACGATGAATGTATTGATTTTACAATGATGTGTGTTTTTTTTTTAAATTTTTTTTTTTTGTGTCTGTGTACACTATAAGTAGTCGAAATAATGCATCGATTTTCAACTCCAATATATTGTTTGATTGGAAAGTGAATATCGTTGGTGCATTGTTGTGGTCAAAAATTTAAAATTCCCAGTAATTTTTAAAAGTGCCAAGAAAAACAAAAGAAAAATTAAGGAAATACGGGAATTTTGACGCAAAATCGATTTTTCACAAAATTGAATTTGGTTTTTGGTGTAACATTAAAACAAATGATCGTAGAAACATGCAATCTTCACTGATTGTTTATATTTGCATTTTCTATACAAGATAACATTTTCAAAATATTTTGAACTCTTTAGGGACATTTTCATTTTCCATTATTTTTTAGTTTTTTTCTAAAAATATCAATAAAATTTTATTTGTTGGTTAAAAAAGCTTGAAAATTTAATAGAAGTCTCCTAGTATATTGTTTCAAAGACAGATGAAAAATATTAAAAATATTTAATCACAGTTTTTTTTTATAAGCAATTAAAGTTCAAAAATTGACAAAATATCGAAAAATCACGAAAATTGGCAAATTATTTTGAGTTATGAATTCATAAAACTTTTTCTTTTTAAATCTTAGGTTTTCAAATATAATACAAAATTCCTTATAAGATTATCTACCTTTATCAAAAAAAAAATGTCAATAAGAAAGTCAAATTAAATTTTTATGAGCGTTTGAAATTCAAATTCATTTTATATTCACTCGATTTCTCGTGTAGCGATTTCTTTATTTTGTTGTAATTCAAAAACGAAAGACTGCAGATACATAAAAAATTCACTGAATATTTATATTATCGTTTCCTATACACCATACAATTTTAAAAATATTTTGACTCTTTTTGAGCTGTTTACAGACAATGGCAGTTTTCAATTTTTTCAGTTTTTTTTTTTATAGTCATTTTAAGTTCAAATTTATACGAAGTTACATATTAAAATACCTAGAATAACTATTTTAGTTATTTTGTTATGATTGTATAATATTATTTGTCGGTACTTGAAACTTCTAAAGTATACTATTATATATCTATGATAAAATCAGGGTTTGTTGTTGATGTATAACGCGTTATAAGTACCTAATGGATATTGTGATATGATTAATTTGGAATTTAGTATAGGTACCTATTATATTTCAATTTTTTTTAATACCATAGATAAGTATGTAGTATGCCTTATACCTAGACTAACCGTTTCCGCTCAGAATCGTTTTTCTTATACAATTATATTATATCATTGAATTCAAAATTAATACCATCCATTATATAGTGACCCACTTGTAACCTACTGTACAGCAAAGCACCTTTTTATTTTTAATTATTACGATATAAATTCTAATACAAATTTGGTATGAATTGTAATATACGTTATTTTAAACTTTCAAAGAATCGTAAAGAGTTTTACAGTTAGAACTGATCGTTTTACATAATTATTTTTATAAGTTTAGGTCATATATTTATTTATCTGGCTTTTAGTTGTGGATGTACTATATATTCTGTGTGAAATCAATATGAATCACAACTCCAATTTTATAAACTTCATCTTATTCTTTTTAATTATTAGTATATCAATTTTATATTTATAAATTATAATAATTTAGGAATTTTCATAATATTAAATTTAGAACATTTTTATTTTACAATAAATTATAACCTAGGTACTAAAATTATTTTATTTTATGCTCAAGCAAACCGAGGTTTGAGAAACTTTCTTTTGTAATAAACTGACTGACTAAAAATTATACAGTATAAATTTATTATAATAATTTTTACTTTATGCTCAAGCAAACCTGTTTGACCAATTTAATATAATAATAATTATAAATTATCATTAAAATATTATATACCTACTGTTATTATCATTATTGTTTTTGACAGCAGCTTTGACTCCAACATTTGGGTACAGCTTTGGGGATTTTTTTCTTAGATTCGAATTTTGAGGGCAAATTTTTTCACGTCTCCCGTCGAAAAAAAAGATCCATAAAATTGGATTCAAAATAGTAGACATTTCACGAGATACTCCAGAAGAAGGACGCATCCCGACGAAAAATTAGTACCTATATCAAAATTTTTATATAAAAATGTCGTTTGAAATATTTATCAGCAAGCCGGGGGGATACGCTTAAGTGTGTAGTCGATCAAAAAATTTGAAAACGTTTTTAAACGATAAAAAAAAACCATTCTCAAACCACGTAGGAAATTTGACGTGTGCAGCTGACTACAGATAATGTTTCCTAGTTCGGAAACTGGAAAATCGGATACGATAATAAATGACTAGGTATCTGTAAGTCGACTATTTGAGTGGTAATCGGAAAAAAAATCCCTCGACGAACAACCACGGAAAAAAAATCCCCGACCCTAGGAAAAAAAATCCCCAGCTACAATATTACTTACAATCACATGCAAATGGTTGAACAAATATATTTTGAACGTTAATTAGTATCTATAATTAATATTTAATGACAAATACGTATATTATATTCTATTATAATATAATATATTATATTATATTGTTAAAAAAATTATAAAAATATTTAGAATGATCGATACGTCAATTAATAATACAGTTAAAAACATAGTATACAAAAATATTATACAACATATAGGTACCTATATTTTATATTATTGACAAATTATTATGATCGATAAATTCGAAATATTTTTATATATGCTATGTTTTTTTATTTATTGTTTGATAATAATTTTACTATGATTATAATTATTATTACCACCTATATTTCGTATAAAATGTTTGTATACCTACTAAATATTTGAATATGTTATGTTTATACTGTGAGTAGGTGACTATAATACATTCAAAATTCAATAAATTATTGTTTGATACCTACCTATTTATTTTATTATGATTATAGTTATTATTATTATTATTATTGATATTACCATTTACCACCTATATTTTACATTTTTTATAATATTTTTATATACCTACTATGTTTTGAACTGTATTCTTTGACGTGTATCGATCACTCGAAATATTTTTACACTTTATATATTTGTGTACACTACACCTCACACAACAATCATAAGTAATATTTGAAATTTGAAAACGTAATATTTTATTTCAGACATTTAATTTTTACAGAATTATACCAACATAACATGTGTATTAATATAGTAATATAAAATGTTGTTGTTAATTTTTCAAAAATTATTTATAGTTGTTATTTATTTATATTATTTGTATTACCTATGTGTTTAACTGTATTATTTGACGTATCGATCATTCAAAATATTTTTATATTCTACACCTATTTGTAACGTTATTAAGTTACCTAGTTATTTAATTTGAATTACACATAATATATTACCTATAGTAATTTAAAACAAAATATTATTTATAATAGGGGAAGATGGGGAAATGGCGGCTTATAAAAATCCAAATATTTTACTGTCAATTACATTAGAACTATAAAGTTGTTAGCTACAACATATATAAGTTTCAAATTTTTAATGTTAAGTGTAATATTTTTTATTTTAATTTTTTTTAAAAACGCAAATTACCGGCATTACCCTTATAGTGGGGTAATACCAGTCACATAAAAATACATGTAAAAGTATAGGACAAAATATAAATTTCTAAAAATCATACAAATAATGAGCAAATTAACATGTTGTCAGTACAGAGATATTTATCAATATTAAGAATTACTTAAGTGTATTAGATATGTTTGTTTTTTGTATTTATAAATGTGAAAAATATAATAAAATATATCTTAGGTACTAAAAAGGGACCGCCATTACCCCATCACATTTGGCCGGTAATACCAATTTCACAGTTTTTTTGAAATACAAACTTAAAAATTATACTATGTAAGTGAATTATGAGCACATAATTGCAATCCTCATAATATCTAGATGTAAATATAACCATTGATGTAGAAAAAATATTAAAACACTTAGCTTCAGACGATTGTCAATTTTCAAAAATATTAGAACGAAAGTGATAATGAAATTGATAACAAATTTTTGGTGGGAAAAATTTTGTTTATCATTTTGAGACGTCAGATATTAGGTTTTGATAACAACACTTATCAAATAACGTGAAAATCTAATTTTTAGCTATCATATTTCATGAGATATGCCACTGACCGGTATTACCCACTGACCGACATTCCCCCATCTTCCCCTACTCCAGAAGAAGGACGCATCCCGGCGAAAAATTAGTACCCATATCAAAATTTTTATATAAAAATGTCGTTTGAAATATTTATCAGCAAGCCGGGGGGGATACGCTTAAGTGTGTAGTGGATCGAAAAATTTGAAAACGTTTTTAAACGATAAAAAAAAAACCATTCGGAAACCACGTAGGAAATTTGACGTGTGCAGCAGACAATGTTTCCTAGTTCGGAAACTGGAAAATCGGATACGATAATAAATAACTATCAGCTACAAGTCGAGTGTTTGAGTTGATCTCTACGATCGCTGAAACTGTCGAAAAATCCGTCGGGAATGGCGGAGGGAAGAGTTTCGAAAATTTAACGCGTAAGACGAATCTGCCGGCAGCCGCGTACGAGGGACAATGGTCGGTCACCGGCATCACTCTGTATACGGCGGGCGGCTAATCGAATGTTCTAGAAGATTCTCGACGTCCTCCAGCCGACGAAAAACGCAAGTGGATGTGACGTTGCTCAAAGCGCGCTCCGTATTCTTACGACCATCGGTTTGGGGCGTCCGCTGCGCATCGTCGGGTCGTTTCGCACCGGGCGGCCAGTGTTCGGCGTCGGCCGTCAGTCGTAACGCATGCACCGTCGAACCGGTCGCCCGTTTTTGACCAACGCTCTCCGTCACGGCCATAACACGTTTTGAACCTTCGGCCGGCGCCGTCGTTTGTTTATCGTCGCCATTTGGCTCGTTGAGCTCGTTGTCGATCTCTGACGCCTGCGCTTCTGATTGCGATCAACGCTGTTCTCCAACTGCTGCTTGCCGATTTTTTCGCGTCATTCCATCTGCGATCGTCAATAAATCGTAAGTAGGTACTGAACAGCTCTTGATTTTTTACAATACAATTTATGGGCGTTTATCTTATTTTTCTTTTGTGTTCGAATTAATCAATTACGTGTTCGCCGCTACACACCGCACTAATTGTTCATTAGGTACCTACCTACTTTTTTTTCCAATTATTAATATTGCTAAACCACCCAAATTCAGGCACGTAGCCAGAATATTTCTACTAGGGAGGGCCAATAATTGTTGGCCCTTTTATCATTTTCCATAATTTTTTCCAATGCAATACTTGAAGGGGGCTTCCCTTTCACACTCATCACTAGACGGTATGCACTATGCCGTATAAAGAATCTTATTAATTTATAATTTACCTTTGATTGGTAGTTGGTTAAAAAAAATGTTTTCTCAACAAGTTCTATTACAGACTACAGTATTACAAATATATATAGTACCTGATTAAAAATATTGATTAATTATATTGATTAATATTATGTTTTAACTTAGATAATATAGTTCTATGTTTGTTTATTTTGAAGTATTAGTGGAAATATGGAGTCTTAGCTTTTATATACTCTATATATAAACATAATACATATTATCTATTATATAATATATTGTTCTGGGAAAATAAACAACAATAATCAGAAACAACGATTATCGATATCTAAAAATAATAAAAACTAAAACCTACCGCCATTACGTTCACGTCGTCAACGGCGTTGAAAGTGTTCATAAAATTAAATTTTTTAATAACGACGCCGGGTATGCACCGATGACTGCAAGCTGCCCGGCTGCCGTCTAGTCTATTATCTATTATTGTCTATGAAACTGGTATGTCTATCAATACCTTATTATTTTTTTTTCAGAAACGTTATCCACGAATATAAAAATGAATTATTATAATAATAATTGTATTACCTATAGTAATATCACACTATACCACTATATCATATATAGTAATTGTATAATCACAATATATTTATTTCAATGTGCACAATCACATTTTTGATAATTGGTAAAATAATTATATTTTGAATTTCAGGGGGGGCCGGCCCTGGGCCAGAGTAAATTTAAGGTGGGCCCGGCCCACCCAGGCCCCCCCTTGGCTACGTCGCTGCACTCAATTCGTTTTTAACTCTTGGGTTAAACCTTAACTTAGTATATTAATCATTAGGTAGGTATTTATTTTCAAATTAATTTAATTATGTAAATAACATTTCATTTTAATTAACCACAATACTCAGGTGTCTACACTTATTATTGTCACTCATTAATTATTGAAAATTGCATACGCATTGTTAGATTTATAAACCTACCTGCTTAAAAAAAGCTTTCTAATATTTACAGTGTTCGTTCCAGAGTAACGAATACACTGGTGTAACGGGCAGGAACTAGCATATCTCATTTTAGTGATCATTCATTAAAACGTTCCATCGGTACATTATAGCATCAAAGTACAAAATGGTCCCCTACCATAGGTTAGGTTAAGTTCATGATTCGTTCCTACGTTCAATCGGTAGACGGTACAAATAGGTACTTAATAATATTTTATAACTACCTAAGTTAGTTTTTGAAGTTTCAGTTTACTTATTTTATAATAATTATTTTTTTTCATTTTGAAGCTAAAGTGAAGTAATTTTTTTACATTTATATTTTTATAATTTATTTCCGATGAAAATAAATTTACTAATAATTTAGGTAATGTTGTAATAAATTGTAAAATTAGTATCTCCTGCAGTTACTTAAAGAGTGCAAATAGTTAGTTTATGAAGTCTGTGCTACTAAAATGTTAGGCTCAATGTATTCGTTCTAATGGAGAAACGAGAACCTACACATCTTGATCAGTCGATCGTTCTGTGCATTACAAGTAGTATTCAACTAATCTGATAACCGATTACATATTGTGTTACTAAAAATATTGTACTAATGTAACAAGTTTTTTGGAATCGTTACTTTATTGTAACTTTACTGATTGGTATAAATACACAAAAGGAATGAAAATTTCCATCATTATTTATTTTATATTATTTGACTAGGTACCTACTTAATTCATTTTTAATTTATAGGAATGTATTTTATTGAATTAAGTTTGATTAATTATGATTTTAAATTGACACTTAACTCTTAGATTATTAACTTAATGTTTTTATTAGGTACCTCTTTATTTTCAACTTAACTTAATTTTGTACATAACATATTTCAATCTCCATTATCTACAGTTCTTAGTAGTTAACCCTTATTAATTAACAAAAATTACATACGCATTGTTAGATTCATATACCTGGTTAAAAAGTGTTTTATAATATTGATGGTGTTTAATTTTATATTATTAATCTACACAATTTATTTTTAATTTATAGGTAGGTAGTTTATTGGATCAAGTATTTAATTAAGATTTCAAATTGACATTTTTAACTCTTAGATATTATCAATTGTATTATATTTATTAGGTACCTATTTATTTTCAGCAAAATTTAATTATGTAAATAACATATTTTCATCTCCATTATCTACAATACTCAGGAGTCTACATTAATTAATTAACAAAAAATGCATACACATTGTTAGATTCATATACCTGGTTAAAAGTTTTTTCTAATATTGATAGTGTTTAATTTTATATTATTAATTTTAGATGCCTGAAGACGTTACCATGACTGCAACTAAAGATATTGAGACCTTCGCTTTCCAAGCCGAGATTGCTCAGCTTATGTCTCTCATCATCAACACATTTTACTCCAACAAAGAAATCTTTTTGAGAGAATTAGTATCCAACTCTTCTGATGCATTGGACAAAATTCGTTATGAGTCGTTGTCTGATCCATCCAAATTGGAATCCGGCAAAGACTTACACATTAAAGTTATCCCCAATGAGGAAGAAAAAACTCTGACCATTATTGACACGTATGTATTTTTATTATTATCTATATAAATTAATATGTTGAAGTATATATAACTTTCCTGACCATAATATTGTTATTTTAGTGGTATCGGTATGACCAAAGCTGATCTAGTCAACAACTTGGGAACCATTGCCAAATCTGGTACCAAGGCTTTCATGGAAGCCTTACAAGCTGAAGCTGACATTTCCATGATTGGTCAATTTGGTGTAGGTTTCTATTCTTCCTATTTAGTAGCTGACAAGGTTACTGTTGTTTCCAAACACAATGATGATGAACAATTCTTGTGGGAATCTGCTGCCGGAGGTTCATTCATCATCCGTGCCGATCCTGGAGAACCATTGGGCCGTGGTACCAAGATTGTCCTTCACATCAAAGAAGACCAATCTGAGTTCCTCCAACAAGAAAAAATTACCAGCATCATCAAGAAGCACTCCCAATTTATTGGTTATCCGATCAAATTAATCATTGAGAATGAACGTGAAAAGGAAGTCAGTGATGGCGATGCTGAAGAAGATAATGAGGAAAACAAAAAACCAACAATTGAGGATATGAGTGAAGATGAAAACGAAGACAAAAAAGATAAATGCAATGACAAGAAAAAGAAGATTATTAGAGAAAAGTACTTGGTTGAAGAGGTCTTGAACAAGACAAAACCAATCTGGACACGCAACCCTGATGATATCAGCCAAGATGAATATAGTGAATTCTACAAATCCTTGACTCATGACTGGGAAGATCATTTAGCTGTCAAACACTTTTCTGTGGAGGGACAACTTGAGTTCAGAGCATTGTTATTCATTCCCAAGCGTGCACCTTTTGATATGTTTGAGAACAAGAAAAAGAACAACATTAAATTGTACGTTCGCCGTGTCTTCATTATGGATGACTGCGAAGACCTAATGCCAGAATACTTAAACTTCATCAAGGATGTTGTTGACAGTGAAGATTTGCCCTTGAATATATCCCGTGAAATGCTCCAACATAACAAGATCTTAAAGGTTATCAAGAAGAACTTGGTTAAGAAATGTTTGGAATTGGCAGAAGAATTGGCAGAAGACAAGGATAATTACAAGAAATGGTATAAACAATTCGGCAAGAACTTGAAACTTGGAGTTCACGAAGATAGCCAAAATAGAAAGAAACTCTCAGACTTGTTGAGATTCCATTCCTCAGCCAGTGGTGACGAATCATGCTCCCTAAAGGAATACGTTGAACGTATGAAGCAAAATCAAAAACACATTTACTACATCACAGGTGAAAACCTCGAACAAGTATCCAACTCGTCATTCGTTGAACGTGTTAAGAAACGTGGTTTTGAGGTTTTTTACATGACGGAACCCATTGATGAATATGTCGTTCAAACAATGAAAGAATATAACGGCATGAAATTGGTATCTGTCACAAAAGAAGGTTTAGACTTGCCCGAAACTGATGAAGAAAAGAAGAAACGCGAGGGTGATCAATCCAGATTGGAAAAGTTATGCAAAGTTATTAAGGATATTTTGGACAAAAAAGTTCAAAATGTTGTCATCAGTAACAGACTTGTTGAGTCTCCTTGCTGTGTTGTCACGTCACAATATGGTTGGACTGCAAACATGGAACGTATCATGAAAGCACAAGCACTCAAAGATTCGTCTACCATGGGTTATTTGTCTGCCAAAAAACACTTGGAAATCAACCCAGACAGCCCAATCATTGAGACACTCAGACAAATGGCTGAAGCTGATCCTAATGACAAAACTGTCAGAGACTTAGTCATACTTTTGTTTGACACAAGCTTGATGTCATCTGGTTTTGCACTTGAAGACCCACAAGTTCACGCTTCGAGAATCCACAGAATCATCAAATTAGGTTTGGACATTTACGAGGATTTGCCAGTAGACGAAGAGAAAAATGCTGAAGTTGAAGTCTCCGAGCCAGTTTTCGAAACTGATGATGAATATTATT